TGTAGGAGTTAGTTTTTGTTCATTTCAAACAAGAATGGTGCCAGTGAGCTGACTCCGGAGATAGGAGGACTCGTTGGTCTAGTCCAAATTTAATCCACAGTTTGATCACTGGACTGCGGAGGTTGGTAACAATGGCTGCCAGTTTACTACTTCCGCCCCGGAATTATTGGTAAATATTAATAAAATGGAAATAGAAAAGTAGACCGTTTGATGAACAGTGGTAAAGGGGACATGATCAGAGAACTGAGAGCAGTCTCGGAAAGCTATCATGTTTTTCATAACACTGAATCAGGTGGGAGTTGTGCTGTTGTTCTGCGCCAAGTGAATCTCACAGGAGGAGCCTTTAATCGGCACAATTATCCGAGCCTTTCTATCCTCTTTAGGACCCTAAAGACAGCTCAAAGCTTTTGATTCTGCGAGCAACCCGATCAAAAATTTCTCTCCAGCATTTCCAACGCTGTGTTGAGAAAGGTAGGATATAGAGCTACGGTTGCATGTGGTAATTTATTGATGCACGAGATAAATTCTATGTAAAAGCAATACAAAAGGTAGTTAAAGGTCAGCGATTACGATAGATTCGAGAAGGGTTCAAAGGAGACGTGGTGGTGCTCAATGGTACGCAGTGGCGAAAAAAGCTGAGAAATCCGTCAAGAAAACGCAAAACGGGACCCCTTTTTTGGCCGTTGGTTTTCACTCATGAACAGGTAACAGCTCAGAAAGCGGACGTATGAACGAGTTCACCGCAACGCGTTTGGTGGCACCATGCCAAACCACGCTCCAATCGAGTTGCTCCAGTTGTGCCGCTGCTGGCAACGCAGCTCGTCCAAATCACCAACTAAACTAGTGGGCGGATCGCTTTTGGGGGCGGAGTGCTTTCGAAGTCCTGCTCAGCAACCAGCGCACCTTTCGTCGTGAAAGCGCCACACCTCGCTTCCTTGGCAGCCAAGTAACTGCTTCGTGTGGTGCATATGCTTCCCGATGCGCTTCCTCTTTATCGTATCGCTGCCTTTAAGGGAGTCAGCCTTAGAATGGTAGCCAGGAAGATTCAGTCGGCAAACTGCGAATCAATAGAAATAAGACTTTACTTGTGTCGCTTGTACAGGCAGGTTTAATGCTCTATCTGTGCTATCTGAATCACAGCAAAACCTTCGCATCCGGAAGGATATGGGGCAGTAGACGCATTTCATTTATATCACTTGTTTGTCCCTACGTCCATTGGAAAAGTTCTTGGCAAAGTTGGACTTCGGGGAATCAAAAAAACTGTTGACGGACATCGATGAGGGGCAGATTGGCTACAATTCGGCTACAATAGAAGTCCTAATGAATAACGGAAAGTAGTAGTGCCGAAGTGATGTAAAAAGAGATGTTTGATCAGCGGAAAACCCAACTCAAGACGAAGACTAGCGGATCGGACGCGCAGACATCATCGGGACTGAGGACGAGAAAAATCGAAGCGGTTGAACATTGAAAAATCATTAGCGCCAATCGTCTAGCTACCTCGGTGGAACCCAGAAGAGCGGTAATCTGTAGACTCTAGTGGACACCACTATCCACTCGCAAGCGCGTTGACATTGATCTACTATTCAAATCATTCGGTTGGGTCAGTTAAGCCTCAAATGAAAAAAGACTGCCGTTTGGTCCAAAATTGAAATACATAATTTATGAACCGCCCATTGTGAATTAGTCCAGCAAAGTGACCCGTTCACCGCAAGACGCGCCCAAAACTTTTTCGTTTGAAACGCTCTGAAATGCGTAAGAAGTCCCTGATAGTATGTCGTTAAAAGATACATCATAAGTCAACATGCGCCACTGATCAACAGGAAGTGCGGTTCTTCTCCACAAAAATGCGAAACTACGTGACGTTCCAGAATTTGAACACTTTAAGAGAAGAGATTGCACCCTCTTCAACTTGTTTTTGATTGGACTACCTTCCTTTTGAAGTATTGTGGCATCTTCGTGCAACAAAACCGCTCTGAGAAGTTGAAAACCGCCATTGTGCACATAATTTAAAGTCATTATTTGCCAATATTTTTTTTTTTATATTTTTTTAATATTATTTTTACATTTTTTTTCTGCTTTTTCACCATTATTCGCAAACCTTTTACCAGCCTGTTGCTTGCATGGAAATGCTGGTTTCCAAACAGGAATTCGTGAAGGAAAGCCGCTGAGGCTCTACTCAACTGCTACAACTTCACTCGCCTTGAGAAATCAACCTAACCCAAGTTGAGGTTATGGGGAGTGGTTTGCGTCTCAAACCTCTAATCCCCGTGGGGGCTCATGCGTTAAATTCAAGTCAACCTGCAGCAAAAAACGCTCGTTTGAGGACATCTCGGTGCATTGCCTACTGCTCCCTGAAAAACTAAAACAATTCCACCCTAAATGTGACGTTAAGCAAGGGTGAATCTTGATCGAACCTAAAATCTTTTCGTCGATAAAATTACACAATGTGGCAAGCGAGAGTGGGCAGGAATGTCGCCAAGAGATTTGCGAATGGCCGAAGCGCGAAGCGCTTGTTACAGCATCGGCCCCGCCCAACACTATTGACTCCACCCACAAATCAATTCCAATTCGCCTTTTTCTGGAGAGGTCTTTTTTTGAGCCCTTGTCGATAGTTGCTCTCTCTTGCTTTCTTACACCGTCACGCGCTTCATATCTCCTCTGCTCACTACAAGGTTAATAACACATCACTTTGGTCCCGGACGAGGCCTTTAAAGTGAACGGAATGCAGGAAATGATTTCCTGCATTTCAACGAATTCCAACGATGTAATGAACACAAATGTGTTGATTGTTCTTAATGAGTCAAATAATACCACATTAAAGTTCAATTGTATGACTGATGGCCGATGGTCTCACAGCAACATTTCTTCTGCACCTGTCTAATTAGTGGAAATAATTGTCATGTACGAATTCCAAAGACTGTTCTGCAATTTTTCTGCACTTTTTGTACCCTTTGTACACTGCGTGTCTACTGCAGACTTCACAACATAAAATGACGACAGCGTCCACAAGATGTAACGACTTCTTGTCAACGAATTGGTAGCCTGGCAAAACTAAATTCTGAAGTATAGCCACCATTGTCATACTAATCAGGTATCGCTTTAAACTACTAGCTCTTAGGTTTTTTGGAGGATGTCGTCAAATGTGTTGTAGAGTCCGTAGTGCAGAGATCCTTACCCGCCGAATACAATGGAATATGATTTCTTTCAATATTGCAGAGCTTATTACGCTTACTCTTCGGGTTCCTGCCTTCATCAGAGCCGAAATTAGCTCAGAAAAGCAAAAAAGTGGTAACTGTTGTCGGGTGGGCGGGGTTATCCGGCCGCGGGTCGCCCATGGCGCGGCCTTTGAGCTTGTAGGAAGTGATGTTTTCCCTGGTTAACCATCCACTACGATGCAACCTTTTTTAGGACAAACAACGACAAACCCCCCCCCCTACCCGTTTGACACTGTTGTTCCTCCATTACCATAGGGAATCGACGTGGCCTCCCTTATTCAGAAGAGCCACCTTAGGGTCAGACCGGCCCTTACCTACACCTTTTTTACTGGGGTGACCCGAAATATTTCCTTATTTGGCAGGCGAAGGGCTGGGGAGGCAGCGCATTTAGGCGTCGTGTTTTTGACAGACTCGATTCGAAAAGGACATTTTTTTGGTAGCAGAAAAAATTCTCAAAATATTCTCAATTTGAGTTGACCTTTGTGCTAAAAAGTTCATGCCTAACATATTCATAAACATGGTATTTTTTAAGAATCGAAAAGCAGCTGGTGAATGGAGCTGCCCTTTGAGAGCCTGGGTCAACAACTATTTATAAGAAGTGCGATAGATCTCGATATTTAGCAGCGGCTAATGTGGTAGCAGCCATTCGTGAACTGCACCATGGCATTATTATCTGCAAATATCATCAAGGATTCTGCACGCAGGGTCCATTTTATTGGAGTGCATTGTGAACAAAGTGATATTTCTTGATAAAATGTCCTAATGTTGTAGAATGTTCCGAAATAGCTAGTAATAGTGCGAACCATGGTGACAAAAGTCACGTTTAAGGGCAGCTTGCAGGCCGGCACGTGGTGCCCAGAATATCGCCTAGCGGGGTGAGTCAACGTCGAGGATTTCTCAGGTGATGAGTCGTGCTTAGCTTGGAGCGAGCCCAGGAAGGGGTCGCAGTAGAGAAATAGACAGTTTTTTTCTCAAGGAAGATGTATTCAAAGCGCAAGAATTGCTAACGGGAACAAGATTTTTTTTCAGAAATTTTTGTAAGATGTCTATTTATTTTATATTTTTATTTGTTGATTTTTCACAGAAGTTCTATTTGTCACTTTTGTGATGTTTTTTGGTGTTGAGAAGGTTAATATAATTTTTTTTCGATACCTCATATACACATAAATGTCGTGGATACATGTAGTTGGGGGAGGAAGCCACACCATTGAGCTTTGCGTCTCTAACGCTAAAGATCAGGGTGAAACACGCCCATACGAAGTTTTGATAATTATCGGCCCGAGTTGAGCGGAGAGGCAACCCTGAGGCAAGGATAGGATATTCTTGACCGCTACCCCAAAAGGGATGGAAATTGACAGAAAGGCTCCCTAAAGGGTGAACCATTGCGAAGGATTGGATAGCATGGGGATGTATAAAAGAATCCTTAACCTTCGCTTACGCGGAACCACAACCGAATGACGTGTTGTACGTCCACAGAGACGCAAAGCAGCGGGAATGGAAACAGCCCCCCGCAACCCACTTTACCCATGTCATGAGCGTGTTCCCTAGGCTTTGACAAACCCTCTTTACAATCCGATGCAAAGAATCCCTTTCGCCAACGTCCCGCGCGAGCAACTTTCGTTCAATACGGCCATCAAAACCATGCGCCGAAATGGCATAATGCAAATAGAGGTCGGTACCCAATTTGTGAGGCTCAAAAGAACTATTTTATCAAACCACTTGGGTCACCGAATCGTATCGAGCTTTTTGCACCTAAGAAATGGAAAAAGCGCCTACAGTAGATTGATGTCCAGAGTGGAGTCAGAACCGTGCAGCGAAGTGAACGGCTACTCTGGCCTGGAAGGTATCCAACAGGGAGAGAATGCTCCACCTTTGCAGGATCTTCCGCTCGATGCGCTCTTGTTGTTTATCCTTTCTAGACTTATAGAAGCGGTTTCTGAACGGTCTTGCCGAGCTAACCGCTCGGACAAGAAATGTTTAAAGAGATGTGCCTTGTGAAAACTCTGATGCCACCGGGCTAGGCGATATCGGTAGAGGATCGCCATCCCTGACCTAACTACTGATCTCTCCTAATAATATATTAGGTCAACTCATTCAAACATGTCCAGACATCTAGAGAAATGGTGGGAAAAGTAAAAGAGCTAGAGCATTCTACTTGCTTTTGCTTTTAAGCTAGCACACCCAGCTACGGTATACCCTAATTTAGTTTATAGTGCTGCAGGAGGAAACACTTAAACACATAAAAGAATTCATAGTGACCCAAATCGAGGTGGAATTTCCAGATGACTGGTGACACACGTGCAAATTCGCAACTCGAATTCTGTGTGTGCTGGCTCAACTTACGCGTGATACAGTGTTCTCGAAGTGCTACGTTGAAGATATGGTGTGAGAGCTCAAAGAAGGGAGAACGGAAGCGAGTTGTGGTTGAGGACGCGTTCATATTGTCCACCTTCCCCAAGAAGAGCGGGTGGATGAAATGAGGTTTCAAATGGCGCATCACAGATGTTGAACCTTTGCGATGTTTGCCCACGAGACTTGCAGTCTAGCTGCACCTGTTACGCAAATTGTGCCCAAAAATTGGGGATGGTCCACAGAACATGTTTTTGGATATCCCATTTACTCCCAGATGCAGGAGTCCAGAATCGAATTGGTGTCTGTAGCAATGATTTTCTCTGCCGATAACGGCATTTAAGACTATCAAACTGGACCCTGCTCATAAACGAAATTTGTGTGTAATTGTACGCTGAGGCCAAGTCAGAAGTGTCAACTTTGGATTAACGCGAATGAGGAACTGCCCGAATTGGATCACGAGAAGTCACGTGGGTTCACGTGGATGATTATTATGGCGATGGATTTCTGAGGTGTGCCTCTTAAATGGCTCTGTCGGGAAAAAACCTCCGGCGTTTCTCAAGTTTATGGCTTGTTTCTTAGCGAACAAATTGACAAAGGAATAGCAGTATAAAACTACAATAACGATATCATCACCTATGTCGATACCAGACCCTACATAGCTCATATTGCTCACGGGTATTTCGATCAAACGGATATTGTGGCCTCTTCTTATCAGCCGTATTTTCCAACTGCAGCCATGCGACCTCAGCTGTTTTATCGAACTGAACGCCCTACTCGTTCGGAAGCGCTACGACAATTCGTTGATCATCTATACTGACATCAAAAGCATCTTGTCTATACTTGTTGAAATGAAGAAGCTGCGCGGTGTCCAGTGTTTTCTAGACGCTGGGATCGGGTCGTTAACAACGACAAGATCTGCTTGACTTCACACCAAAGTATTAGCTTTTTATCTTTCCTGCTGTTCATTTTATTCGAATAAAACCGTGGACATGTTTGAATGAGATGACCTAATACATATATTTAGAGTTAACCTTATTCCAATAGGTAGAGGTACTGTACGCGTCATACATATAGGTAGGCGTAATTGATTAGTGGTCCTATGAAATTGGAGTTATGACGCCTGCGAGCGTCAAAAGTTAATGAAATAACCTTCTACATTGCCAGTAATCATCTTGAACAAGTTACCGTATAACACCATTATACTTAATAGTTACCGCTATTTTAGGGCATAGTCAATCAATTAGCATTTACGGCATTTTTTTTGGTCCCTACGTAAAGCTGCATGTTCTTTTCATGAAAGGCTTCCGACTTCTCTTTACAATGGATCGATTATCGATTAGTAATTGAAGGTAAGCTTACGGTAGCTTGCAAAGTTTCCCGAGAGATACCTGCACGTATGCGCATATTTGCGCATATGTTTGGAGGGCGATTTAGGAGGGGAGAAAAGGGTGGGAGACCCAAGGGGGCGGGGCTCGCGAAACATTCTCAACATTCCGCCACATCGTTGCCCTATATAAAGCCGACGAGGGGCCGCCTCTTCTCTGGAGATACACACACACATACACTCACTGACACTTACACTCCACGTGGTCAGTACTCATAATCTGTACAGCTTGTACTACTACTGTTGCTGCTGCTGTCGGAGTGAACTTTCGCCCTCTTGCCGTCCTTCATTCACATCCGAGACCTATTGAAATGCTCTGTTCCCACGCTTTACTCATCTCACTTTTTGCTGTACTCACATTATTGGAGGCACGAATCCTCGAGAAGGAGTCGTTAGCCGATAACGAATGTTCCCCACAAATGAACATGCCGTTGAAAGAGGTCGCCGAGAAGATCTGTGAACTCTGCCATGAATTCCACAATCATGAAGTTCCAAACATGCGAGCCGAATGCCGGTAAGTCAACAGTAATTCTTCAAGTAGATCATTTTTAGATCACTTTGTCCAGATAAGTAGATCAAATACGTTCTTGCAGGTCAGAATGTTTTTCAACGGACAAATTTCGAACGTGTATGCGTATGTTCACGAGTGCACCAAAACGTCACAATCGACACAGTCGACGAAATGTCTGGAAATTCTAAACCCGACATATACGGTATTTATTCGTCGAGTAGTTCCAGGACCGTAGAGCATAGTTTATTTGAGAGAAATATACATATAGTTAGATATTGATCAAAAGCGATGACCAGATTTATCAACTTTGGAAAACTGCCAGGTGAATTCTATCTGAAAAAAGGGTCACAAGCCCTCTAGACATTTTGAGAGATCAAGAATCCCTGGAACCCTTTTCTAGAGTTGATAATTTTGGCCTGTTAGCTATAGGTTAGCACCAAGTTTGTGGTTCCTATTGTGATTGACCAAATTTCCGAATTCCGATTTCCGACCGTTGCATTCAGTGTTCAGCTTGATCTACTCAATTTTTCGTACCCGTGTTCAATTTTGCCTTCCCTCGATCATATCGTTAGCGACTAGTACTTCTACCATGTCCTTCCTATCCTTTTGGGTGAACGTTGCTGGTCTCACACACACATACCCACTATAACTGTATGATTCGTCACAAATTTGCAATATTCTCTATTATTATATGTGCATCATATATGTATGTGTTGAATACGTATTGATTTTTCCGTGCAGGTTCATCGTTCATACTCTTTGGTACTGTAGTCTTGCCGTCTATAGTACGTTACGGGCGACGTGTGTCGCGCGTCGCGTTGCGCGATCGTGTCCCTTATCCATATGCACACACACACAACACACATGTACAAGCACATCAGACACACGGGTATCTGTTCTACTTCTTGCGCTAATGATCATCCTATCGTCATTCATATCTTCATTCATTCATCCATTCATTCATTTTCATCTTCTGTGACGTCACACACACACGTGCAAATGATGATCTCATTTCATAAATGCTATATGTACTTTTGTGTTTGTTACATTTGTTTTCTATGAAAGAAATAAAGAAATCTATCTGATGTGGTGGTTTTCACTGAACGATTATCCCGAAATGAGCCACGCACCCGGCTTCCAACCAGGATTGCAAAACTGATTTAATGTTTGTGTGAGTTTGTCCTTGCGTGTCGCAACGGCTGCCACGGTAATGACCTGATACCCTCATATGCTAATAAAGGATTGAAAGCACAGTAATAAAGAGAAAAGCTGAACGGGTTTGCCGCTTTGGAGTGCGCCCATGCCACTTCTGCCTTCCATTCGCAGACGTGGGTGGGGTTGATAGGCGAGTTTTGGCTCTGTACAATGGACCTTGTTGGACGAGCCGATGCGCATTGACCGTAAGTACTGTTTTATCCTCCCAGGCAAGCCTGGCCCCACAATTATTGAAAATCTGACCCCGGAGGATTGAAACATTGGTTGGTCCGGACGATGCACGAACCAGGCAGGATTTGATCTTTGGACAGCGCTACAAGCCACTACACCACTTCGACTCACCGCAAAGGTATGGTGCCATTTATTAAGCTCCAAAGGTAAAGGGTTCGATCAGTGCGGGGTGATTTTGATATGTGCAAGTGAGGCTGTTGCTTCACGTCATTGCTATATATTTTGTTATTCATGGAAATCTTTTCTGTAAACATATTTATTATTTATTTATTGTACCATTAGCCTAGCAGTCTGGCGAAACTTCTATATGCACCCGATAGAAGGAGTAATACATATAATACCAAAAAAGATTCACGTCAGCCATGATTGGTCTGTTCTCTTATGAGGACTTACTCTACACAATTTCGGGGAAAGACATGCCGACGGTTAAAGAGCATAGGTTTATTCGCCTAGGTATATTGAGCGACATAGAATGCCAGCGATTATATCCATATTTATCCCCTCCAGAACCCGCTAAGTAATTGTGTGTGAATAATGTGGGATTAATGTTATATCTCAGTGAGGCCATGAGGGTTCTGCTTCCTCATACTCATGACACCTTATGCTATAGCCAATAAGTCTCGACGTATAACGGACCTAAACGACCACATTTAGTGCGAGTGACGTCGCCACGTTCGCCACAAATGACGAGCACAAGGAACGTTTGTAGATGACATCATTTCTCGAGCACAATTAACTACACTACTCCTCATAATCATACCTTCACCTACAAAATTCCTAGAAACTAGCATTCAAGTTGTTGAGAAATACTTGAAGCATGAGGTTCTAGTTGAAAACGCAGAAACATTTTTGTTAGACGTGTTAAAAAAGTCGCTCTACCTGTCCCCTGAAAAGTCATGATTCCCAGCACGTTTCTTTGTTTGTTTTTATTAGCTTAGTCAAAGTGTTTTATTGTTATCAGTGCTAGCCACTTGTAGGTCATGACAGAAGGAAAACCGCTTTTAGACTTTGAAAGAAAAGGGTTGCCTAAAAAAACCTCGCAAAATTACCAAGCAGTGAAATTGCACAAGAGTCAGGCGGAAGTTGAGTAGTAGCTAACAAGTTCTCAAGGTAGTCTGCAAGATACTGAGCTAATGAGAACCCTAAAAGTCCTCTTTGCTTTCCGACCAGCACAAATGTTGCATCAAAAAACAGCTTTCGGCGCTCATGTCCTTGGGGGGACATCACAACAGAGCCGATGGTAGGTGACACTTGGACTAAGCCCAGGAGAGGGGAGAAACGCCAGGGAGAACACACATACATTGCTCACATCCTACCCCAGAATCCCTTCCCCTGCCTAAGGCTTAGTCCCAAGCACAGCAATTGGCTCACTAACTTGGATGTCCCCCCCCCCCCAACGACATGAGCGCCCAGCTTTCAATCCAACTAAGCCATCTTTGTTGACCGTACGTTCCCTTTGCGATCGAAGGTCTTATCAAGAAGTGTTTCACGTGTGTTCAAAAAGCTCTAAAATCAGCTCCCGATAAAAGTTGTGCAATACACTTTATCCAACAAAAAATACGACGAGGCGCTCTCATGTCCTTGGGGGGGGGGGACATCCAAGTGAGTGAGCCAATTACTGTGCTTGGGACTGAGCCTTAGAGAGGGAAGGGATCCTGGGGAAGCATGTGAGCAACTTGTGTTCTCCCTGGCGTTTCTCCCCTGTGCTGGGCTTAATCCTAGTCTCACCTACTAGGTCTCAGGACATCTGTCAACCGTGAGGCTTGGCGGTTCAGCGTTTTGTAGTGATGTCTGGGAGCTCTCACAAGTGCACACTATCACAGCATCTCCTCTTTCTTTATCTTCTTCAAAAGGCTTAGTCCCAATAAGACACAAAGTGTGTGCTTTTCCAGCTACGCTCTCACCCTTTGGTTGACAGAAGCCTTGTAACCCACTACTATGGGCCCTGTTTTAGTGTCCTGCCCCCTCGAGGACATTAGCGCCTACATC